AAAGGAATTGGGTCTTGGTGGACAGAGTATTCTGTGCCACACTTTCCTTTTTTGAATTGGTTTCACTCAACCTTCCAGGTTTCCCAGTGTGAGGAGGTGTAACGATGCTTATTGAAGCTCAGGTGTGTTACAAACAGCATCTCAGTCAGGCCTTGCATTGGCCCTGCCAAGTAGCAATTATTTGTACTGTATCGGTTTTACAGATGAGAAAATGGAAACAAACAAACAAAAAAGGGTCTCAGGTAACTAAAGTCACACGATGTGTGTGTGTGCTTGTATTTAGTTGAGCTAGTAGTCGAACCCAACCAGTATGATTCTAGGGTACTGATGCTTATGTTACATCGGCAAAGAAAGATGACCATAAGAGTTAGACAGAACTGGATAGAAATGACTGGCCTATAACTTACTAGTTGTGTAAGCTCAGATATGTTTTTCAACATCTGTATGTCTCAGCTTCTTCGTTTGTAAACTGAAATATTTATATGAGCAACCTAATATAGAATGTCTATGGGATTAAATGAGGTCATCCATTTACGGTGTGCACTGTTCATGCTATTGTGTAATTGCCATGTTTAGTGCTTTGCTTGGCACAACATTGGATGTGCCAAGCATATCGTTGTCGTCCCTCAACATGACTTAATCCTAGAGGAAGTATTTGGTCTACAGGCAAGGATAGGTGTATGCTAGTAGACTTTCTCTTTCTTGTGATTTATCTCTAAATTTATTTCCATTCCCTCTATTTTTTTTCCAGGAAAAAGTTTGTTCATGTTCAAAATCCTTACCTGGATTTGATGGATGAAGATATACTCTATCACTTCGCTTTAGGAACAAAAACACACAACCTTCCAGTAATGTTTGGGGATGTAAAGGTAAAACTATTTCAAACTTTAGGAAAAATAATTGAGTTTCGTCTGCTCCCCTGGCTCGCCTTCTCACTTGTCCAACATCAACTTTCTATTATTGGCTAGAGAAATGTTCAAGCTCCCAATTGGAAAGAAAGCCACACCTACACCCTGGAATGGTCCCAGATGTGTACATCACACCCTGAGCAATAATTTTCACCCCGACAAGACGGAAAGGCCCTCAAACCAAATCTAATACATACGCTATGATTTAGCGACTCTGGTCCCTCAAAATAAATGCATTAATTTATTTATTTCATTGACAATTTACTCATTTAATTGTTTCATTGACAATTCTCGTTGGTGTTCGGAGACAGGGAAAAATTTTACAGATTCAGTTCATTATTTAACTTGTAGATTTATAGCAGAAACTCACTAATTCTCATTTGGTTAAATAATAAAATAACTCTCAGCAAAACAACTGCCATTGTATTTTTCTTCTTCTTGAAAAAGAAAAAGGGCGATTATCTAGCATTTCATAAGAAAAGTTTTATGTAATATTGATAGGAAAATTGCACTCATATTATTTGTTTTATTTTAAATATATTAAATGATAAACCAGTGCATATTCATAATTTAAAATACAACAGAGAACAAAGTTATTAAACTAATACTCCACTGTTCTACCATCCAAACATAAACACCATCAATAATTTATTCCCTCCACCCCTTTTCAATGGATTTTAAAATAGTTGCACCTATGTAACTTGCCTACTGCATTTCCCACTTAACTTTATGTCATGGACATTTTCCCATATTATTACATTTGCTTTAAAATACATTATTTATGGATGCCAAGTGGCTGCAATATACATACATAGCTTAGAACTGACTTTTATGGTAAAATATTTTCCATTATAAGGAGGATTAAAATATTTTATACACTATGAGTAATGATTCATATTTAGGTCTGTTTGCTTAGGATGATTAATAGAAATAGTCAAAGTCAAATAAGCATTCTAAAGTCCCCCCCCCCACCCAAAAGGGCCTGTACCTACTTATCATTCTACCAGTGGAGAACTGCAGTTTCATGAGACAGACCTACTCACTTTAGCAATTGCATAAACCAAAAAAGGAATAAAAGGTTTTCATATCTTTCATCTCCCCAAATCTTCACTTTGGCTTTTTAAAATGGATTAGGCAGATAATAATTTTCTGTGTAATAAACAAGATCAAATTTGGAGAGATTAAAGGGGCTGTAGTTACTTGTACAGAATTGGGCCAAGTTCTTCCAACTCTAGTTTCCCATAGTCTTGTCTGCAGTAACTCAGAATGATTGTGAAGGAAGAGTTGAAGAAGAGGAGGAGGAAGAGGTTAGCTAGAAAAAGAGGGAAAGAGGAGGCAAGAAAAGATGAGAGAAAGGAGGGAGGAGTGATAGAAAGAGAAGACATTTATTTAAAAAGTTAATTAGGTACAGGGACAACATCATCTATGCCCCAGCTCCTCCCTAGGGAGTAAAACTTGAGGTTACGGGCTGACTTCTTGCTAACACCCTGATCCGTGCCTTTCCCCAGTCGTCTGCAAGACTGTTTGCTGCTTCTTGCTTTTCTGTGGCCTCTTTGCCTTCATCTTCTCATTCTGCTGCCATTTCCGAAGTGTCTGCTCATAAACTTCATGCATCATATTTGTCTGTCATATATGTATATGGCTGTCTTTAATATTCAGCAACCTGATTTCACCTGAATCCAAATGGTAGGGCTGAGCTTCAAGCAGCACAATGCCTTCTCCTGGACCTCTCTCTAGGATGACCCCAGTTCATCGAATGACACATAATAATTAATAAAGAATGCCAAACATCAGATCAATGAATTAAAGTCTTGGAATATGTTTTTGAGGGAAAACATATAATCTAAGCATCGATCTTTCCACCTGTCTATCTCTCCTACCATTTATGGAATGCTCTCTGTATATATGTGTGGAATCTAATTCAATATCCATAGTAATTCAAGCAGTTAGCTATAATCTCCAGTTTCTTTAAGGATGAATGACTTGGGGCTCAAACATAGATGTAGTGTTATAATGCATATATAATAGATATTTATTATTATTATCATCATATAATAACCACATACAGCTGGTAAAGGGCTGAGATGAAATGTTAGGTAATTCTTATTTAATTTAGGTAAAACTTTAGGTATAATAAGAATATGTAAATTCTTAAATACATATATATATTTAAGCAAAAACTATAGTTTGCTATCTTTTACAAAATCATTAACTGGCAGCCTCCAATCTTTTCCTAGACCCACCGGGTGGATTCATATTCATTGTGATTCCATAGGACAGACTAGAACTGCTTCACAGGGCTCCCTGTAAAGCTGTATGGGACCAGACAGCACCATCTTTCTCCCACAGACTGGTTGGTGGGTTTGAACTACCAAACTTGCAGCTAGTTAGCAGCACAACTCTTAAACCACAGTCTTACCATGGCTCCTTATTACTAGTATATGATTATATAAAATGTAACATACATTTTTAATGTGTTTCTATTTTTTTGGTCCAAATGCAAAATACAAGGAACTGCAGTGAGAACAGATTAGTACAAAATGGTAGTTAATTTTTAAAAGTTTTTATTGTGACTTGGGTAAAGATTTATAGAGCAGAGCATAATCATTTTACACTCAATTCATAGGCATCTTATTTCATCTTTTCATTACGATCCCTTCATGTAATGTCTTGAAGACCCTAGGATACTTGAGAATTCGTTTGTTCCAGCACTCATGGGCCTCTCTAACATTTCCTATAAGTCACCTTCTGACTCCTTCCCAAGACACTCTGTCTTCTCTGATAACAGTAGGGCAAATGGTAAACTTCTTTGGGACTTTAATCCAAATAAGTGACACGTTAAGACAATGTTAGCTGGTGATCTTCAGCTATGCTTCCCTTTCAATGAAGTGGCCAGACTGAAAAAATCACACCCAGAGCTGATATTGAATAAGCCTGACTTAGTAGAGCCTAGACTTCAAGAACGTAGCTGCTGTCTGTACATATCATCTTTATGACTCCAGAAACCTTCAGAAAGGCCTGCTGATTACCGCAATATCTGCACTTCAAACAAGAATTCAAACCACAAGCTGTTCTTAACATCTGTTTCAGCTTTCTGGTCAATCTGAATAGTTGTAATTTACATTCTCTAGCACCACACAATGAGGCTATTTTCAAACTACTGTACCTTGGGGAAAGAAAACAAAAAGCTTTCTCTTCCTCATGCTCAGATCTTTCACCCAATTTTATCTATACCAAATGTAGGAAACATTTACGTATAGTCAATAATAATTTTTAATCGCCCACCTGACACCAGTCCTCTTTGCTCCACAGCCTTCAAGGCTGACCTCTATTGTAGTTTCTAACCAACCTTAGCTGATGAGAGAGACTTCTAAGTAAGCACAGCAAAGTCAATAATGAGGGTCGACGAGAAGTCGAGGGTCTGTATAAAAGGATAATTACATCTTATAATTGAAAAGGAATGTAGTACAGAAATGGCTGTTAAATGGAAACAGAATGCATCATATAATCAGACCACCCAAGAGTAACATTATTTATTCATTTGTGGATGGGAGCTCCTACTCTACAATCTTATTTAAATATGGTCTTAGATTTGTTTCTGTCCTCCCCAGATGGTGCCAAGCCAGGCTTTCCTTATGATCTTCTGTCCAGTGCTGCCCACATCAATCAGACACTGGCAACCAGCTCTGTCTTACTCAAGGACATGAGCCAATTTCATTTGTACTAAGTTCTGTACCACAGCAACAAGTTCAAACGCAGGGCCAGCACATTGCTATGATATACAGTTACCATTCATTGAATACTTAGAGTGGGCCTGACTGTGTGCTTTGCAATATGCAATCCCATTTCATCATTATAAAACCCTCAGAGAGGTAGTGCATTTTCTCTGTTTTGGAAATGATGGCCTGAAGCACATAGATATTAGATGTGTGATGCTTGTTGAAGACAGATTTTGAAATATGTAAGTTGTTGATCTTGCAAAATTATCCCTGCTTTTTCTATCACCATTGCCATATTTTTCAACTACTGACTCTTTTTCTTTGCTCCCAACTTTTGCATTTCAATCACTAGTAATCATCAATGCTTCTTGATTGCACGTTGAACCAATTTTAGACGGCAGGACTTGATAAAAGCCTTCAATTTCCTCATTTGGCACCAGTGGTTGATGTATGAAATTTAATAATAGTAAGATTAACTGGTCTTCCTTGTAGGTGTATGAATATCATCCTATTACAGACAGAGTTGTACTGCAGGGTAGATTAGATATGTTGTTTTTTAACAATTAATGCAATACCATTTCTCTTTGTCATTCCTGAAATAGTAGACCCTATGACTGTCTGATTCAAAATGGCCAAAACCTGTCCATTTCGGCCCATGATACTCATCTTCATGCATTCCATTTCATTTTGTTGACTTTCAATTTTACGAGACACGGACTGCATACATTCCACATGAATTGCTGTTTGCAGCTGTTTCTCCTCATGTTGAGTGATGCCACCACTCGTCTGTAAGTTTGTTATAGTGTGATGTCTTGCATGCTGTTGAGACGTTGGGAACTATGCCACCATTATTGTAGTCATCAGAAAGGTCACCTATAGTGGGCAGGTTTTATAGGAGTTTCTGGACGAAGACTAGGAAGGAGGACCTAACATTCTACTTCTGAAAACAAATAAAACACCAAAACCCACTGAGCCTTATGAAAAGGAGCAGAAGCGCGTCTGAGAAGAGTGCTGGAAGATGAGCCGCTCAAGGTGGAAGACACTCAAAATATGACTGGAGAAGAGCTGCTTCCTCAAACTGCACTTGGTTTTAATGATGTGGATGAACTCTAAGCTGGACTTAACCTAACCTCCATGGGCAGGCCCTTACCCACGATCTTTCAGTCTTGAAGATTCTTTAGACTTTCTGCACCTCACCACTGCCTGAGAGTCAGAGTGACTTTATCACTGATGCCTCTCTGTGGTCTCTGCTGTCCTCCTGTGTCTGCTGTCCCTCATCTTCTCCCTTGTTGACCTCAGGTGCTCACCAGCTGGCAACGTATTTCACATTGTCACGAGAACACTGTTATTCACCTCTCCTGTCCCCAGGGCTGATGAACTCCCAATAAGCTATTGTGCAAGCAATGACCAAGTGTATTTTCGACCACATTTCATTAGACTTCAGTCACTCTTGGCTATACCACCGCTCCAATTCCCAAGATATTAAAATGAGAAAAACAATAACTTTTACAATTGATGGAGTAGGACAGCAGGATTTCCAATCTATAAGAAGACTTATTCTATGTACCTTTCTCTTGAATGAAAAGTTAGGTCTCGATAGAATTCTGAGCAAGCTTTAAGTTAATACAGCACAAGTTACAGGAAGAACACATGGTTGGGAATGTGGAATTAGACCACATGAAACTGGTACTTCATGCGTTCAATACTGACATGTTAAATAAGCATGGGGGGGTCAAAAAGTTTGTGGACAAATTAAAGGAAAGATAAGGGGAAATGTCTACCAACTTTATAAAGTCTACCAATTGTATGAAGTTCTTTCATACTGTTTTCGGATGCAAACAGTAAGCTGTTTATATCAACCGAGAATGCTAGTTGAGATTAGCTGTCAACAAAAACACCAGGAAACATCTACTTAAATACTGTCCATTTTTAACTTACCTTTTTGTGATGATCTTTTTCTATACTGGTTCAGCATGCCAAACTTTGTACCTGATTGCCTTATTTAGGTTAATGATGACAAGGAGTGAATTCATGAACACAAAGCCTACCATACAGACCTACTGTTATAAAACTCAAATAAAAGTGTTTAGGTTGGAAGGTGACCCTTGGTTCCTGTCCCAGTGATGATGGTAGGCTGCTGTTTGTTTTTATCGACAGTTTGTCTGTGTTGGTGGGAGCTCCAACAGAATGAAAGCATTTGCACTGCGGATGCACAAGGAGCTGGGATGTGAGGGAGATGGAGAAGAAATGAAAGACATTTGTGCTGGGACGGACAGATTCTGTATGTACAAAACCGGGCCTGTGCTTTCCATCAGCGTAAGTACTTCATGGCTGCGTTTCAGTGAATCATTTTCAGGTTGTAATAAAAAGTGCAGACTTTTTTCATGCTCTTTCTCCTCTTTGCATTCTTACACAATGAAACAAAGTGTGCAGGTATGACGCTCATTATTAGGAAAAGTCCTGGAGGCACTTCATTGCATTAGCGTCACTTTAGTTTATTAGTTACCATTTAGCTAATCAAGTAAGAGAAAACCTGCTCAAAATAACCCCCCCTCATCCCCCTACACACACACACACACACACACACACACACACACACCTGCTCTTTTTAGTTTGCAACTGACAATCTCATTGGCAATGTTCTCATTTTTTGCAACCCTTATCCAACTTGGGGAGTATTAGTGTACAGCGGCCAATTATTAGCCTGGCCAGAGCGATACAGTTTAACCTTATAGCCAACTCACTGGGAAATGACTACTGTGTTGGCTTGGAGCGCTTGTGAATGGCTCTCTGGGATTTAGAATATGCTAATAGCTCTGGACACCCCACTTGCCCTAAGCCCAAATGAAAGGGCATCATTTTCATTTCAGGGAGCATGCAGACCATTCCCCAAGTGGACTCAGGCTGGATACACTTAGGAGGATGCATTTAGGGGTGCACCCTGCTTGCTTGTTAAGCTTCTCTCAGTACCCGACTGTATTTCGAAGCAACTACTCTAAGCTTCTCACTTATCTGGACACTGTAGCTCTCAAAACGGGCACGAATTCCTTGGCTTGGAATGTCAGGGGACCAGGGGAGATTCTACCGCAGAGGCATGGTCATTTGGTCCCGCCATTGTGGAGTTCCTGGTGACAGAGGGAGGGAGATTAGGGGAAAGAAGGAAAGCGCATGTCAGGCCAAGGGGGCAGCTAAGCTCATCCTCCCTTTATGTCAAGAAAGCCTGAAGCCTGCTTTGGACACAACAAGGAACATTCTTTCCTTTTCCCTTTATCTAGTCAACAAGCTCTTGGCTGAATACTCCGTAGTCTTGGAAGACCTTGTCTTCCTAACTCTTGTTTGACTTTTATACTCCATCCATTTGTCCTTTTGTGCATAGTCAAAAGAAGGAAAGACAAGAATGGGGTTTGTAACAATGTGAAGCTGTAATAACTCAGCAGTACAACTTCAGAGTGAGATAGAAAAACAGCCGCAGACACATCTTGCTGTCCTGCAGGGTACAGGAGCTGAATTCTCCATCGCAGGCAGAGGCCTGCCAGAAAACACCCCTGGAAAGAATACGAAGTCTCACTTTGATGTTACAATGATCCTTTTCTTTAGGGACTCATTTCATACCTCAAACTTCGCACCTGCATGCTTTATTCCCAGGTTAATGGTAAATAAATTAGCTAATTAGAAAACGGTATTACTTTGTAGACAGAGGATTTCCAATTAGGGCTTCCTCTTTGAAAACTGTTACCTCTAGTAGCTGCTAGTGTGTGTGTGTGTGTGTGTGTGTGTGTGATAGCTAGAGACAGAGATTGTGAGAGAATGAGACAGACAACAGGCAAGGGGGGGTGGAGAAATACACAAGCCCATTTGTCATTTTATCACCATGCTGCACAGTGAGAAATAATCATAAAACTAACAAATGTCTGAATTAGAAGGCACCTGATATATCAAATAATAGTTTGTCTTTTTAATTAACAATTGAGGGAAGAGACACAGGAGAGTGTATTCATTAGTGTCAGAGCCAGTGCCAAAGGCCCAGATATATTAATCTTGGACACCCCAAGATAGGCTCCAGGAGGATGGCAATGTGTTCAGAAGGCAGGCTGTATACAGTGGGAATTGAAATGGGAAACCGGGGATTTTAGGGTTCCGTGGTTTGATGTTTTTGGTGGTGAGTAGAAGTGGCCTCCGTTTTCCAGATTTGTTAATGGGTCAAATTGTGGTAAGCATCACTTAACTGCTAAGAGGCCTCTGGTGCATCTCTGCCTGCCAAGTCTGTTTAACCAAGAGTAGAACAC